CCATTGTTTTGTGTAGTTGTATAATGGATAAAAGCCTATTTTCCTTTGTCACTTTCGATTTTAAGATTAAAAGAAACTGTGTTTTTCTATGTTTTATTGTTTTCTTTGGGTTGAGGACTTCATTTAAGTTACCAAATATTCAACTTTTAATTTCATTTTAGTTGAAAGTATTTTTTAAAAATACTTTTCAATTCAATTTATATTTATGGGTATATTTCAAGTATCTATAACTAGGGGTGCACAAAAAATCTGAATATCCGATTTTGCGAAAAAAATATCTGAAATCGGTTTTGGGAAAAACCGGTTTTTTTTAACCGGATCGGATTTTTTTAAACCGGTTATTTTAACCGGTTTGGAGAAAAAAACCTAGACCGGTTTTTTTACCGGATAAAAAACCGGTTTGAAAAAAACCGGTTAAAAAATCGGTTTTTATCCGGAAAAAAAAACCGGTATGGGTTTAAAAAACTAGCCGTTAATATAGCTGTTGGGGGGGTTTTGTGACCGTTTTTGACCGTTTTTTTCTTTAAAAAAATTACCATTTTACCACCCTAAACATGTATAAATAAGTTGGGGATGTATTTGGTTGATTACAAATTTCTCAAATCTTATTACACAACACTTAAACATCTCTCAAATCTTACTTTTGTAATTTTTTGTTCATCATGAGTAACACGGCTGAATCTTCCGTCGGGGGAAATCTTGAAGTCGTGAGAGTGATCGAACACACTTGAAACAAAGACATTTGGGATCACTACGATTTATGTGAGATGTCAAATGGCTCAAGGAGGGCGCGTTGTAAACTTTGTCTAAAGTTTCTTGCATCGGAAGGAAACACAACGTTGAAGAACCATTTGACAAAATCATGCAAGGCACTTCGCTCAAGATCGGATCCTAGTCAATCGAATCTTACACCGCAAGGTGGTGTTTTTGTTTACGACAACGAAAAATTACGAGAAGCGTTTACAAAGTTCGTGATTACAAAAGCATTGTCGTTCGACCACTTTGATGATGAAGATTTCACGACAACAATTCAACAACTAATGCAACCACGTTATACTCAAGTAAGTCGTACTACCCTTAGAAGAGATGCTATAAAAATGTGGCGTACGGCGAGGGAAAAATGATTTTAGGATTCCAAGAACACCGTTATGGTGTGTCGCTTACATGTGACGTTTGGAGTTCCCCTCATAATACCGAAAATTCTTTTTTAGCCGTTACGTCACATTGGTTAGATCAAGATAATTGGCAAATGATGAAAAGAACAATCGCGTTTGAATTATTCGGTGAGCCGCATACCGGTGCTAATTTATTTACACTTTTAAAAAGGGTAATTTGTCTTTATAAATTAGAAAATAAAGTTTTTTCTATATCCTTTGATAATGCATCGAATAATACAAACGCGGTTCCAAGATTGAAAATATTACTTTCACCGATTTTAGACGGTGCGTTTTTTCATACCCGTTGCGTTGCACACATAATTAATTTATCCGTGCAAGCCGGTTTGGAGGTTATTGAGCCGATCAGATTAGAATTCAAAACAATGATAAAATCGGTTCTTTGTAACAACAACAAAAGACTAAATGATTATAAACGATTTTGTAAGTCTGTTAATAAAAAAGCTTTGGGTCCTAATTTGGATTGTCCAACTCGTTGGAACTCAACTTGGATGATGATGCATACTGCCTTAAGGCAAAGGGAAACATTGCAAACATTTCACGATCGGCTTTTCGAGAGGGGTCATGTCCCAAACATTTATCCGAATTCGAGTTGGGAAACTATAGCCAAAATAACCGATTTGCTTGAGGTTTTTAAAAATGCAACAACTTTTTTATCCGGTGTTTATTACCCTACTAGACCGTTGGTTCTTAATCAAATATTTTTGTTGGCTACCCGACTAAATGACTTTGAATTTGAAATCGAAGTTTTTCAAGAAATTGGCTTTGCAATGAAGGAAAAACTTTTAAAATATTTTAAGGAGATTCCCCCCATTTTTACTTGTGCCGCCGCTTTAAACCCAACGTTAAATGTTGGTGGGGTTGAAACACTAATTGAACAAATTGCGTTTGCTTTTAATCTAACCGATGATGAACCCAACTTTGTCCAAAACCAAATAAATTATTTTAACAAATGTTTTCGAGACATGTTTGCAATTTATTTAACTAAATACGGATCAAGTAGTGTAATACACGATCAAATGAGAATGAATGTGGAATCATCTAGTAGACGTCCAAGTAACATAAATTTGAATCTTTTTAACACTCTTGTAAATTCTCAATCCAAACGATCACGTACTACCACCCCAAGTAGCGAGTTGGGAAATTATATGTCATGCGATTTTCTATCAAAAATGACATTTGAAGAGTTTGAAAGTTTGGATATTTTGGCTTGGTGGAAAGAAAAGGAAGCACAATTTCCGATTCTAACCGCCATGGCCCGTGATTTACTAACCGTCCAAGCTTCTACGGTAGCTTCGGAATCCGCTTTTTCTGTTAATGGCAGGGTTATATCGCAACGGAGATCAAGACTAAGTCCCGAGTCGGTGGAAGTATGCATTTGTTTAAAGGATTATTTGGATGGAGCGGCTCGTAAACAACATATCACCACCCTAGAAGATGCAATTGATGCGGATTTGGAAGCAAACTTACACATTGAAGAAGTCGAACTTGGAATATCCCCTCCAAACGAAGAAGGCGAAGATGATGAAGAAGAGATGGCAATGTAGTTTATTTTATAACTTTATTTCAATTATCGTAAACTTTGTTTCAATTATCGAACTTGAAGTTTTTAAGTATTTGAATTTATCGAACTCGGAAGTTTTTAAGTATTTGAATTTATCAAACTTGGAAGTATTTAAGTATTTCAATTATGTTGAGTTAATTAAGTATTTCAATTAAGTATTTGAATTTATCGAACTTGAGGTTTGATGCTTTCTCTTTGATTCTCTCTTGATTCTAGTTGCTTGATGTTTCTTGTCTTTGATCAATGGCTTCTAAGCTTGCTTAAATACACCTTGAATCACTTCTGAACGTTAGTGATAATTAATGAAGATAATATAGCCGTTTAAGTGTGAAAACATTTAATAAAAATGCTTGGAGCGTGGGGGAATCGGTACCCTCTCATAGGGAATCGGTACCCTCTCATAGGGAATCGGTTCCCTAAGTGTAAAATTCAAATATTTCGACCGTTGAATAGGGGGGAATCGGTACCCCCTATGGAGGAATCGGTTCCTTCCGAGCATTCTGGAAATCTCGGAGCCAAACCATTCAGTGAGGAATCGGTACCCCCTTGGGGGGGAATCGGTTCCCTATGAGCAATCTGGAATATTAAAATCGGTTTTTTTATAACCGATTTTTTTAAAAAAACCGGTTTTTTTAAAACCGAAACCGGTTACACCGGTTAGGATATCCGGCCCTCCAAACCGGTTAAAAACCGAACCGGTTATTTTATAAACCGGTTTTTTTTCTATGAGAAAAAATCGGATCGGATAAAAACCGATCCGGATCGGATTGAAATCCGACAAATGTTCATCTCTATCTATAACTACAGATTTTCATCTCTAAAAATAAAAAAACTTAAGACATAATTCTAGATAACATTATTATTGATGTATTTTGTTTCTTCAAGCTTTCATGTGAACAAATGATTTTTAAGAATTTATAATTTTTTTTTATTAATATGGGATTTTGATATATAATTTACAGTGACACAAATATCAAAATAATTTAATATATATATATATAAAAGTTCTTTTAGAGCCTTCTAAAAATAATGTTGAGTTCTGCCATTAGTTACATCTTCGACTTAATTCGTCAAAATGAGGCAGCAACTAGATATAATTATTACTTACGAAAATCGTTAAAAGATAACTATAATTATAATGATTATAAAAAAACAAGCATATTTGTTTTTTGTGAAAAAATTTCGAGCAGGAGAAGAAAATTTTTACTAGTGTCAAAAATAGAAGAATACATGAGATTTTCAGAAATTGACTTAATAATTTCTTTTCTTATTCCATAATATCTATTTATAGAGATATGTAGTTGATTCAAAGAAAATTTTTTAAGTATAAATTTACTTAAACTAGATTTTTTGCTGTTAATCAACTTAAAGGAAAATATGTTTCCAACTCTCAATTAAACTAGTTTTTTTTCTAATTTCTCTAATTCTCTCTTAATTTTATATCTCAGATCGAATTCAAGTAAAATTTTAACAATATCCACATTGCATGAATTCTGAAAGTGTAAGAAATTCAAGAAAAAATTTCAAATTTGATAAAACACCCAAACTTAACAAAAATATTAATTCTTCACCTCGACGAACAAATTCTCAACTTCTTTCACGAAACTCCTTAAAGGTTATTCACTCAACAATGATTGTCAACCAAATCCCAGTAAGTCTTATTGAAGTTTGGACGTACAAGGTAACTTAGTCTTTATATCGGTAAGATCATTATAGGTGTCAATTTTGGTCATAGTTGCATCACTACGAGTAATATCATGCACAACATGATTTCGATCATTAATGTCAATTCTATTTTATTCCAAGATGGTTGTACTAATGTCATGCACAATACAATTTCGATCATTAATATCATCGGTAAGATTGCACTAACATCAGCATGTGTGACAGAAATGGTGTGCTTGATCTTCCAAGATGGTTGTTTAGGACAATAATCTTCTTTGTTCCTCATTTGCTGTGAAATAGATGTTCCTCATTTTAATCAGAGCTATCAGCTGATGAAAATCTCATACTTCATTCAATATCAACTGATGAAAATGTTTACACTGCATGTAGAAACTAAATAATTTTCACATTGAAAAGAAATTCTCTTTTAGTAGGGATAAGTTACCTAAAATCATCACAAATGAAGGTTCACTTTCATACCAAGAGATTAACAATGCTTTGTTTTATTTTTCTTTTCTTTGAAGCACAAATTACAAGCATCAATCACAGAAAATATTAGTAGTATAACATTTATATAAAGAGCTAGCTCTTATATACTAATTACGCCAATCATCCAAGTTCTTCAACAGAAACACAGCTGCTAAAACTGAAACCGATATGGCGATTGGGCTCCAGATTCTCCTTCTGGCATTGCTGATATAGGTGGTTCCATTGAATCCTACAAAATAAACCATAAAACTAGCATCTAAGTTCTATGTTTATATGCGTACAAACTCACTCAATGCTGTACTATTACTACAGACTCTTATGAGATACTACAGGAAAAATTCAATTACCAGAAGTACATCCATGAGTGATTGTGTACTTGAGGTCCCACACTGTAGCCTTGTTGATGAACTTATAGTCTCGCTTAACATGATGAATGCAAGTCAATACTGCCTTGGTATGTTCTCCACACCCTCCAGCTTTACAAAAGTCTGTCGCATCATTGGAGGTTACATTCATCCATCCTGCTTCCGTTAGAGTATATATGTCTGAACAGCTTTGCGATTTCTGTGAAATACATTACAAGCATTTCCCACAAAGAAATACATTTGATTAGAAACTAGGAAACTAAGAAGATTAGAATTGAAACAAAAACAGTATGTGAGAATAACGTTTTGCAGGCATTCATAAGCGCTTTCCCACTGTTGAAATGGACTTAAATTCACATTTCCCGTAGGGTCTGTTACTTGCTTGATTTTTGTATCTGCAAATGTAATACCAGGAACCGCATATGTTAATTATCATGAAAGACTTTAAAGCTTCTACAATATAAGTCCGAGAACAAAGTTCTAATAATTCTAGCTTCTCTGTCTGTATTATACGACTTGCGGACCAACAAAGAATTGTCGCTTCTTGGATCATGTCGCACTGGTGTTGTGAGTACAAGCCAATATTGTCCTCTTTGGACGTCTAGAGACTCCTTAAGGATTTGTTACTGAATGTGTGCTTCTCCAGACTCTTATCCTAGGATCTCCCACATTGCAACCATTATCAAATGGTACCATGGTTGTGGAAAAGGACTCCTACATGGAGAGATCCTAGATTCGAGCTTCGGAGGCATATGCGACAAATTATTGCAGAACCAGTGGGGTGTCCACAGAGGAAAATAGGACACTACAACTGGTGCAACGTGACAATAGGTCAGTTTGTCGTGACACTCTGAGATGTCAGCAGTCTATTGAATAGGTGCACTCATACAAAGAAAAAGCGAGAGGGAGAAACCTGCTTTAGTGCCGGAAAACAGAAGAGAAACTACTAAGATACCGTGCAGGCACAATATTTTTGCTTGCATCTTATTGCTTAAATGACGCTCTACTATTTCGGCAGCTGGCTAGTTCTTAAGGACCTATGAGGAAAGATTTTCAATTCCAGAGTGATATATCTGAAAATATATGGCACTAGATATTCGAAATGTCCTATTGGATTCATTGGTAGTGACGGGGGAATCTACAAAGCAAGCTTTGGAGGAGCCGCATGTAGTCACAGACAAGTGAAGGGATCATCCCCAAAAATACCAGAGCTAATAATGGTCATTTTGATCTATGACAGCTAGCACAATCTTATCTTGGCTTTAACTTTAACTACAAGTCTACAAGTTCATCATCTACAATGACAGAGCATTAAACTAAGAAGAAGTTGCAGAAATTGGTGATTTATGATTCCAAGATACCAAATTGTCATTTGTTGTCAAGGCCAAACAATATGATACGTTAACTCCAAAGGGAATTTCTTGTGCTTGGAATCAGTACCTTTCGAAGTCCGAAACAAGACGAACCTACCTTTTTTTCTGGGCTTACCCAACTCCATAAATCAGTCACAGAACCCCTTCTATCATGAGCACAACACTGTTTCTCATAATCAGAAATAATTTTAGGCATGGCAGAAGGAGGCCAAGCGATTTTCAAAGCTCTTGACAATGCAAAGACTCAGAGTTACCATTTCAAGGCAATCGTTATTGCTGGAATGGGATTTTTCACTGATGCTTATGATCTTTTCTGCATAACTGCTGTAACCAAGCTCATAGGACGACTGTACTACTATGACCCTACAACTGGCAAGCCAGGTGCTTTCCCAAAAGAAATAAAAAATGCTGTTACCGGAGTCGCTCTATTCGGAACCCTTGCAGGGCAACTCTTCTTTGGCTGGCTTGGGGACAAGCTTGGAAGAAAGAAAGTGTATGGAATCACCCTTGTAACCATGGTTGGGTGTGCCTTAGCATCTGGTCTATCCTTTGGTTCCTCCGCTGAAAGCGTTATTGGTACCCTCTGCTTCTTCCGCTTCTGGCTCGGGTTTGGCATCGGTGGAGACTATCCGCTCTCAGCTGTCATAATGTCTGAATATGCCAACCAAAAAACTCGAGGCGCATTCATTGCTGCCGTCTTTGCAATGCAAGGAACAGGTATTCTAGTTGCAGGACTTGTATCAGTGATGGTCTCCAAGGCATTCTTAGCTGCTTATCCAGCACCTCCATTTAGTGAAAGTCATGTACTATCGACTCAGCCGCAAGGAGATTTCGTTTGGCGGATCGTGTTGATGTTTGGCGCTGTCCCTGCTGCCTTGACCTACTATTGGCGTCTCAAAATGCCAGAAACTGCTAGATACACAGCATTGGTTCAGGGAGATAAAAAGAAAGCTGCCGCTGATATGGCTAAAGTCCTTGAAACAGATCTAACTGTGGAGGAAACAAGTAACAAACTTGACCCCAAATCATCATATGGATTACTCTCTTCTGAGTTTGCCAGGAGACATGGACTTCACCTTCTAGGAACTTCCACTACATGGTTCTTGCTAGACATTGCCTTCTACAGTCTCCAACTAACACAGAACGATGTCTATCCGGCGAGTGGACTGTTGCATAAAGCCTCGTCAATGAATGCCATTGAAGAGACATTCCATCTATCCAAAGCCATGTTCCTTGTAGCACTGCTTGCAACTGTTCCAGGATACTGGTTCACAGTGTTCCTCATTGACCGGATCGGACGCTTTATAATCCAGCTTGGTGGCTTCCTTGTGATGTCCATATGCATGGCAATTCTTGGATTTCGCTTTTATGCTCTTAGGGGAGATCATTGCAAACAAAGTAAGACCAAGGAATTCTGCAATGGAAACTCCGAGCTGTTCACCTTCCTATACGGCCTTGCATTCTTCTTTGCCAACTTCGGACCTAACAGTACAACATTCGTCGTACCGGCAGAGATATTTCCGGCAAGGTTCCGATCAACTTGCCACGGGATCTCCGCAGCTTCAGGGAAAGCAGGAGCCATCATAGCTGCATTTGTATTGCAGACATACACTCAAGATGACAAAAATGTTAAGCAGGTAATGATTGCACTTGCAATGGTGAACATGATTGGGTTTTTCTTCACTTTCTTGGTGCCAGAAACCAAGGGTCGGTCCCTTGAGGAGATCTCTGGAGAGGAAAAAGATTTTGGTGACAGAAAGACCCACCCTAATGGGATAGATCAATCAATTGTCGCAGAACGTGAAATGGTTTAGTAATACTACATGTTAAATCCACTTCTCTATCAACAAAAAGTAAATAAAAGCTAGTAAATGGGTTATATAATCTTATCTGGAGTCTCTCCATGATTCTAGCCATTATGTTGATATATTAGGGTTCTCAAGTCTGCATTATTATCTACGAAAATGGATAATTTGCTTACGTCATCAACCAAATCGATTAAAACCCCAAGGATTGGATTTTACTAGTGATGTAAACTACTGTATCAACATATTATTTTGATTATTAAATTTATTATCATTATAATTTGTATGTTTAATTATTATATAATAATGTACTTGTTGTTCACCTTTGTTCCCTCATATTCCCTTAGTTTACAAGTCTAAACCCACCGGCAAACCCCCTTCATTCTCTTTGAGTTCCCCCACCTACTCGCTTCTAGGTAGGATTAGGATTAGGATTAGGATTAGATAGGCATGTAAACGAATCGAACGTTCAATGAATCGTTTGTGAATCGTTCGGCGGGAAGTTCGTTTATTTATTAAACGAACGAACATGAAAAATATTTTGTGTTCGTTTAATTAAATGAACGAACATGAACAAAGGGCTTGTTCTTTCATTTAAGTTCGTGAACATTCGATAATATGTTCGTTCATTCAAGTTCGTTCGTTTATGTGCATTCATTTATATTTAACCCAATCTCTCTCTAGACCCATTTAAAATATTAAAACCCAATAAATTTTAATCTGATACCCATAAATATTTTAAAATTCAATTAATTTTAAATACAAATAAAAAACTCAAAACAATTAAATAAAATATAATTCTAAAATTGTTAGGAAAGAAAAAAAATATTTTCATTTATGTTCGTTTAAGTTCATTTATGTTCATTTATTGTTTAAGTTCATTTATATTTATTTATTGTGTTCATTTACGTTTGTTTATTTGTGTATGTTTACGTTCGTTTATGTTCGTTCATTTTTGTTCGTTTATCATTTAAATGAACGAACACGAACATGCTACATTCCTTAACGAACGAACATGACCAATAATTTTTTTTCCATTTATGTTCACGTTCGTTCATTTGTTCGGTTAAAGTTAAACGAACGAACATGAACATACCCTGTTCGTGTTGGTTCGGTTCGTTTACAGGCCTAGGATTAGATTTAGAATTTGCCAAAAAATATTATATAATAATGTTTTTAATAATATTATTAATTATTTTAAATTTTCTTAATTGATTATTGTCGTAGGAAAAACAATAAATTAAGATTAATAAGCAATATTTATAAGATGAATACGATTATGAGATACAAATCAAATTCATATGTATTGTTGTAAACCGATATTAGATTGACTCATTCTGATATTAATACATAGATAAGTATCTTAAGTTAATCTCTAATGGTTGTCATTACGTTCTTAAACCTCAAATCACTATGGTCTCAACATGATGTATACTGTATTTTGAGATAGTGAAAATGTTGTTTTTATCCGAACAATTATAAATATTATGCTTAAATATGATAAGAATCATACAGTGAGATATGAGTAAATTTGACCCTCTTATTATAAGAGAGAGATCTCTAGACCCCTTGACAATTGAGATTAAGAAATGCGTGGTCATACTCAAATGAATTGATGGAGATTAATATCATTTATTCAATTGGTCTAACTAGGTGTCAAGAAATTAAAGATGTAACAATATAAGATTGACTTCTTACATGACTTATAGTATATCAAGATATCTTGAGACAAAATGATTATTTCATGAACAATAAACATATTTATATTTATGTTTTCTCTTTTAGGGTTTTCTATGTAAAGATCAATATTATTATTTTTTCTTACTACTTTGTGATTGTTTATAGATAGTTATCCGTAAAAAAAATGTAAATATCAAGTTGTTTGATTCAATCACGATAACAATGATTATATAATATAAACACCATATTCTTATTGTGGCAAGTGAAGATACATGCGATCCTCATGCAGATGGATATGGATAATACTTTATTAAAGATTGATAAGACGTCTTTCTTAGACATTTGAGGGGAAACATCGTAAAAATCAAAATGTCTTATCACATATTCATTTTCATCTATCATATTAGATCCTATGGGATGTGTTAAAAGAGAAGATCGTAGTCGCTTTGTGGTTAAAGTTAGAGTTATGGATGATGAAAACCTTAAATGGCAAGTTATATCTAAAGCAACGACTATATTTTTATTGGTCATGTAACATTTCTAATTACGACTGTAACACTTTTAACTCGGCCTAGTCATGAATTAAATCAACGATGTCACACTTTAATGATCAAAATTATGTATAACTCTAATTCGAATGAAATTATAGATTTGTAATAATTCAATCACAAGACTTATATGAAAAGAATACAAGTTATATAACAAATTACAAACCTTACATGAACGAGGGACCAATTGAATAATTTTAACCAATTTAAGTTATTGATATTGGTACTAAACTACATATGTTGATATTATGTGAATAGTACTGATCTTTGGACAAATATCAATATCAAATTGGTATATTATATTCATATTTTAATTAATTGGTATCAATCCTAAGATTTGAATGTAAATATTGCTAAGATAGTATTGAAACTTATGAGCGAGCAAAATTCAACTCAACTTAAAAATTGATCTTTTCGACTCGAATTGACTTGACCCGTAGTTTTATAAATTGACTCAACTCAAAAAAAATTTCAAGTTCAAGTCGAGTTATAAAATAAAACTCGAATAACTAAAAAATTTTAGTAATTAGAGGATCGATTTTCAAGTTAGAGTCTAGTTCCTTAATTCTCTATGATATATGTATATCACATGAAAAATGTGAAGAAATATATATGTATTGCATATGGTTACAAAAAATTGTTTAAATTGAAATCAAATAGTACCATAATATTATAAATATTTACAATTAAATTTAAACAAAAACTTGAGCAACTCGACTCGAATTTTTTAAAATAAAGTTTAAGTTATAAAATATGAATTGTCGAAACCCGTTTCGTACGAATACTATGATTATTATTGTTATTAATATTATTATTATTATTTTTACTATTACATGTCCAAATTACAATACAAGAAGCCCAAAATTAGGTCTAGTTGCAAAGGTCCATCCGACCCAAACTTGGAGCCCAACAGAACCAAAACCCAATGGGAGGCCTCTGTGTGTGAACCCAATAAGATAGGGTTTTCTCTTTTTGCCTCCAGCCATCATATGATATCCTTCAGATCATGAGCATATCTGATAGTCCAGATTGACCCAAATGAACTAGGGTTTGAAACCCTAGGGTTTCCATTCATCTGCCGCCACCTTGCTGCACCAGTCTCTTGCCATCGCCATTTCCACCAACCACGCGCCAGTAGCCCTGTTGCACCAGCCCCATGCTACTTCCATCTTCGCCAGCCGTGTAAGGCAACCCTGACATGTCAGTTCACCTAAATCAACAAGCAACCACAAATACCAAGACAATAATGATTTCATTTTATGGAAAAAAAGAAAAATTTGTAATATCAAGGGTTATAAAACCCGAACACTGTTGTAAAGAAAAGAGGCTCTCTCCTTTTTGGTTTTTAGAAGCAATAAAATCAGAAACTTCAAGGTATTTTTTCTTGTATTTTTCAGTTTCGAAACACAAAGTAATAAATTAAAAAAAGAAGCATATTTAGGAAGCAAAAAACGAGAAGGGAAGTGAATAGATCTAGTTACCTTAGAAAAGGGGAGTCGAACCATAGGGCCAGTTCATCTTCGCGGCGGTCGAAGCGTGTGAGAATCGAAAGGTCGGGATCTTTTTGGGGTATTTAGGGGTCATTTTAGGTGGTTTTAGGCCTAGATCTAAGCTTAAGCGGGTAGATTGGAGTGAGAGGGATATTTTAAATTCAATTTAGGGGTTTCGACCGCCGTGTGTGGCGACCAGAACGACAACCGAAGTCGTGGTAAGACGACTGGTAGTGGACCGGCCGAGGGAAGAAGAGAGAAGGGAGAGAGTTTGAAATTTTTAAGAGTTTCAGTTAAAATGAAAAAAAGAGATAAAAAATGAGTTATATAGGAAGATTTTAGGGTAAAATCACGCCTAGGTCCCCCTAGTTTAGCCATGTTTTTACATGTTAGTCATATGTATGGACCGAACTTGTTATTTGTCCATTTTTGTGCATGCTTTATATTTTTTTGGATTATTTGTTGTTTAGTCCCCCTAGTTTAGCTGTGTTTTTTCATGTTGGTCACCTGTAAGGACTGAAATTGTTATTTACCCGTTTCTTATGCATGCTGTGTATTTTACATTTTGGTCATGTGTAGTGATGATTTAATTTTTAAATGTTTCTGGACTGATTTAGTAATTTACCCATTTTTCTTTAAAAACATATTTTAGGCTTATAAAAAAGGAATAATTGTGAAATAGTCCATGTAGTTTCAGCATGTTTATATTTCCATCTATGATTTGTTTTTTTTACTTAATTTAATTTAACCAAACAATTTCATTTTATTTTAATTTTGTCCCCATGTTTTATTTATTTTTATCCTTTGTAATTTTATCACTTAATATTAAAAATGTTCATTTTAGTCACTTTTGTACTTTATTTTATTTTAACTTTTGACATGATGATTTGTTTGTTTATAATTTAGTCATATTTGCATGTTGCTTTTATGTTATGTTATTTTAGTCACTAATTAGTTTTTTTCTACATAATTTGACTCGAATCATTTATAATTTAGTTTTATTTGCATGTTGTTTTATTTCAATATTTGCATGTAGTTTCAGTGTTGTTTTGACATGATGATTTGTTTGTTTATAATTTAGGACCTCATAAGCCTTTCTTGACTCGAATCAAAATAATTTGACTAATGGTAATATTCCTTCATTTTAATACTGTCGTAAAGTGATTGTCTTAACGTATAAGAAAGTTACTTTCGATAGTTTTAAAATAAAAGTCTATCCCATTAGGCGACACGAATTAAATTGAATCCATTTTAAATTTTGGGGATTGAGAAAAAGATCACATTCTTTTAATTAAGTTTGCCGAGAAAAGGCTGTTAGAT